TTTTATTTAACACAATATGCCGCGCAAATGTGGCGTTTGACTGATTTTACAGTTTAAAATTTTTCATTTGCAGCGAATATGCTTTTATCTCACCTGCAGCCGAGGCTGTGAATAAACACGCTCCTGCATAATCATTATAATTTTCTTCTGAATTCATTAATCAAACATAATAAGTGTCGATAATAAGGTTGGGGGGTATCAAGGCTGTTTATTGAAGGATTCTCACGTCGTCATCATCTGATTTTCTTCAATTTAAATCTAATAAGTTACAAAGCATGATCCCAGCTTCATCCAAACCCCTCACTGTAATTAGTTAAGGTGGATAATTATAATAGCAAATCAAATCACATCAAATGAATGTGTTTGTGCATCAGTGACGCCGGTTAAAGTGTCATTACAACACTTTTATTGACGACTGGTTGTTGATTGCAAGCAGCAGCAGTAGAAGAAGAAGAAGAAGAAGGCCGAGCCTCAACATTTCTTCTTCTCTTCTCCGCCTTCTCGTCCCAGGGCCAGAGGTCAGAGGAGTTCATCGTCGCCTCCGCAGCTCCTCACATTGCCTGTAATTTCATTTTTGTGCGTAAATATGTGTTTCTTGTCAGGAGCGTGGCGGCGAGAAGAAAAACAAGCAGGAGGACATCTCTGACAAGCAATTACACGGCAGCTCGTCTGGGCGGCAGGTGGGGATGAGCCCCGGCCTGCTGGAGGGGCAGAAGATTGAATACTCCAGAGATGGAGCAGAAAATGGCCGGAGGGAGAACACGGTGAGACGAGCACACACACACACACACACACACACACACACACACACACACACACACACACTCATGCATACACAGACACAGGTTAAAAACAAGTGAGTAATATCTACGTTTTACATTCTGCTTGTTTCACATAAAGAAAAACAGGATTATGACGTCTATGAATCCCAGTTTGACTGGGAGATTGGGAGCAGGATAATCTCTCCCATCGTCATCATCAGATTCCAAGAAGAATCAATGGATAATGTTTAATCTGTCACAATCGATGTGAGGCTGCAAATCTGTGAATGTTTCATTCCCACAAACCACCACAGTTGCCATAACAACTTGACTTCATGTCCGCCCTTACCTCTGAGAGTCGTTTCCTGTCTTTAGTGAACATAGAAGAAAGATAGATGGATAGATCTCCTTCTCTTTCCTGTAACACCTTCACCTGTGGCTTAGCCCCAGAGGGATGGTGATGTCACCAGGCTCTGGCCACAACCTTCACCGCCATCCTTCCGTCAAAGGCGACGTCTCTTCAGGAGTCTGCAGCTGTGCGGCGGACCGTGCCGGCAGTGGTTACATCAGATTGGTAACCTTCCCGTGGTGCACACATATGTGGATGTCAGGGTATGAGGCTGAGGAAGCGACTCTGACAGATGGGTGGGCTTCTCTCACTTCTCTCCCCAGCCGTGAACCAGGAAGCCTCGCCCTCGGGGGTGAGTCCCAGGGCGACGTGAGACGGCTCAGTGGGAGAGAGTACAGTCAGTCCTTTCAGGGATGTTCCATTAACTTGATTAATGGCCCAATTACCACCGGTAAACACTCCTCGGAGATAGGAAGCAGGAAGGAGGAGGAAGTTTGGGGTGATAGAACCTAACTGGTTCATGGTCGGTCAATTATTTGTTATTTACTTCCACATTAAACTTATTTAGACCACGTTTTAACCTTCATTTAGCTGGAGAGGGATGCTTTCTTTTCCTGGACTCCCTTCATCCACACTCAAACTGTCCTCGTCTGGAACACGGGCTGTAAATAAAGATGTACAAAGTGTCGACACTTCCTCCAGGTATCCAGAAATCAAGCGAACATATCCTGGATTCGAATGCTGCCAACGTGAAACCATTTGACAAAGTTCACGGAGCACATAGAGGAGCATTGAGCAGCTAAAGAAGAAGAACCTGCAGAATCACCGAGGTGGTTTGATTTGACAGGATTGCTCAGTCGAGGTACAAAAACCTGGGATCAGTAAAAGTGCATCCAACTTTTTTCTTGCATCTCTTTTGGAGCTGGAAGAAAAAAACAGGGTTTCCAGCTTGAAAAGAAAATTCTTGATTATACAAAAGGTTTAATTCTGAATGTAAAACGTATAATTACCAACCATAGGAAACAAGAAGCAGGAGCTTCCATCTCCCTGAATATAGCATTTGATTGTGAAACAAACGCTTCGGTGTGTCTGGTGTCCCCTCTGCCATCTCCCACCGCCGTGTGGGCGGCTCGCCTCGGCCTCGCTTCCCTCCACACACGTGGGTTGGAAGATTTGCTCGGCCCCTCGTGCTCTCACTGAGAGGGGGGCAAGGAGGCGAGCCTTCATCCTCCTCCACACTCGTCTGAAATGCCGCCAAGTTCAGGGAACCCACCCCGTGCAGCACTTACAAGAGGTTCAGAGGCTGCTTCCAGCTCGGAGAGGTGGAACTGAGATGTGGATGGTTACTGGAATAACTGGAGATGATTATCATTATACCCCATCAATGATTTTCTTTGTTTTAACCTCTACTTGGTTCTGCTCCGACGTGCGTCGCCAAATTCGTCTCATTTGCTCTGCACATGACTGATGACAGCATTTGTAATTAGCTGAAGCAACACGAAGACTTATTGTGACTTTGAGTTGTTGGAGAACTCTCTCTTGGCAAATCCTCAGTTCTGGTTTCTTCATGTCAATAAATCACTCGGCATCGTTGTTGTCGGGAATTCGTCGACTTTCTCTGGAATTCGGACGTTTCCCTTTAAACTGAGCTCGTCTGCTCTGTCCCAGGCTCACGTGTATTAAATGGGACTCTCCTATATTGTTTTCATTGATTCTGTCATGGCATCTTTATAATAGAGCCCTGCTTCATAATTGGATCGCTGCATTGGACAGAGCACGCTTCAATCCCCCGGTATGAAGTCGGGGAGGGAGACGGAGGATGGTGGAAGTGCTCGTCTGTTCTCGTGTGATGAAAGATCAGATTTCACACAAAGAGCTGCATGTCAGTGGTGTGTCGTCAGATGAAGATAAAAACAGATAAATAGCAGTTGGATCTCTTCGTTTCAAGTTTGTTCCTTGTGTGCAAACATTAGTTCAAACCCAGCGAGGAGAGTTAATAATTGTATCATCAGTCTTTAATGATGGAGGATAAAACCTTTTCTCGTGTATGTCCTCAGGCACAGTGTTTCCGTGAGGGTTATTACAGGAGCCTAAATGCTCCCCTCCCTGTTTTCGGAGATGTGCAGTAATTGGGTGAAATTAAGAATCTGCCTGAGACGAGACCGTTCACAATCAGATTTAATGTCACTTCTGTAATATACGCTCGTAATACAAGAGAGCGAGATGCGACTCAACACGTCGGAGACGTTAAAAACAACAGACGGGCTCAAAAAGAAGATGCATTTATGACTGAACGGAAAATGTCGTTGCTGTAGATTAGAAATTCTCGAGGTTCTTTCTGCTCAGGGCCCTGCTTTGCAACACCGGGTTGTTTTTATACCTGAATAAATCATTAATGCTTTAAAGCTAATGCGCATCCATCTTTTCATGAACGGTGTCTCCAGATGAAAACAGACAGATTCTTCTTTTACCTTTTGTCTCTGCAGGAAAACACACACAGGTCATTTGTGCAGGAGGCTTTTCAAACACCAGACATGACGGACTGAGTCAAAACTAAAGACCAGCAGCGCTCTCTCTACAATTTCTACAAATCACTGGTCTCCTTCAGTTCATATTGATCCCTTCTAAAAAATAAAAAAAAAAAGAATTGGTGGGAGTGACAGCTGAAATTTGTGAAACTGTTTTCTGGTTCTTTGAGGCAAACGTGGAGCAAAGCGGTTCAACAGATGGCATCTCACACCCTCTCCATCCTCTCAGCGCCCGGCGCTCCGCTGCCACTCTGGACACGGACACTGTGCGGCAGAATTCATTATCAGGATCAGGCCGGCAGTAATGAAAGAAGGAGTCGCTGGTCGGACTCAACATCTCCTGTGTCATTTCCTTTTTCTCGGCGGCTCGGTTTGTCAGAGTTGCTGCTGTGAGTGCAAAACCCTCTCACCTCTGCCGGAGAACGATTATCACATAGCCTTGCAGGGAAGATCCCCGAAAAACGAGTCATTGATTTGGGAAATGAAACTATCTTGAGCTAAACCCCAGTGTGTGTAAACACCCTTTGTCACCACACTTCAAAATAAATCCATACGGACGACACAGTCCTTCAGGAGGGGAATTTTAAACGCCTCGCTCTGTCACAGCTCTGGATTGTGCTGGCGATAAACGGATCAAGGCAACAATTCACAGTAGAATAACCTTTGCCGACGTGCTCTCACCTCATCGCCGGCCGCACCGCAGCCTCTTGTGTTTGGCCTTTTTATACAAATCACATTACAGCCCGTTGGCCTTTTGCAGAAATGTCCTATTCACGGGAATGAATAGGAACGAACCAGGTACTTGTGCTAAGGAGCAGCTGCATCATCAGTAGTAAGGCCATTGTGCTTCTTGTGAACTTTTTAAAGACCCTGAACAACAGAAACGCTGCAGATCCAGATCAGAGCTATTAGAAAAACACATTTCTGTGCAGTTGAAATCACAGTCATCCATTTTTTACCTTATTTTGCAACAAGGCTGCGAAGGGTGCACAAACAGCAAGGACGCTCCTCGCTCAAATGTCTCCTCCTTTCCATGAAGGTGCGATGACTTCATTTGCATTCTGGCACAAACCAAAGATATCGCTCCTCCACATCTGGCATCGTCTGCTTCATCGTCTTAAATCGGCGAGCACGGCGGCCGTTCCGGTCTCTTTCTGTCATGTCCAGTCAGCCTGTTTGTGTGCGAGAACAACTTAGTCCCCAGAAACGAGCAGAAGCTGCAGCTATGTTCCTTATTACTTATTCCCCCTGAAGAAGTCCACACTGTGTTCACCGAAAACTCCCGAGACACACAGACTCTCACACAAACAACATGACTCCTGGATTTCCAAACCTGAGCTGAATACCAAGAAGGGAGGAGAGTGGAGTTGTTCTAGTTTCATGTCGGATCTGTTGCACATAGCTGACCTTGTGGTTCGCCTGCATTTGTGAAATGAACCAGAAAACATCCTGGAGGTCGAGATCTCGGCCTCACCCCTTCGATCTGATTCGCTTCGGCCACGTTCGTCAAACACGTCGAGCCAAAAATAAAGGGTTTACTCAAATTATACATTGTGTTCTACCAGAGTAAATAATGATTTCTCCCACATGTCTCTGCAATACGCATCATCAGCCTGTGTCTGAGGAGCAGTGGGTAATTTGGCAGATCAGATCCAACAGCACCACCCTCTGCTCAATGTGAGGAACTGCAGGATGTCTCCGGTTCTAATGGATGACTCATAATGATCTGAGAAAATCTGTGTGATCTAAGCTGTAGTGGGGGAAGTTTGCTGTGATATTAGAAATAACAGAAGTGAGGAGGCTCGAGCTCGTCCGTCACACACATCCAAAGTGGCACCTTTCACTTTCACACAGTTAAATAACGACGAAACCAAAGCAAATGAATATGACGTTAATGTCGTGTTTCTCCAGGTACCGAGAGGCACGGGGTCGTTCCTCTGCTTCCTCCGAGCTGTTTGAGCAAATCTGACACTTGTCTGACTCGTCCGCTCCCGATCCGCCAGCGGCTTCATCCAACTCCTCAAACTCGTCTCCTGAGAGTTGACCGGAGCCCCGACACCGGCTGAAAATCCACAGTAACATCGTGTCAGAGTTCCTCAACGCTCTCCTCCTCCCCATACGCTGCACACAGAGACGTGAGAACACACACACACACACACACACACACACACA